GCCCCCTTGCCTGCGTTGTTGGAGCTGTATTGTGCTAACCCACAAGAGGTGCAGGCACCAATCTCAATCCACCCCCCGCCCCCTTGCCTGCGTTGTTGGATGAACAGTCAGGATGATCTCCTTCAAGGCACTACCACCTTCGGACCCAGGCAAACGGGGCACACAGCCCAGCTCAGGGCTTACAAGGCCCGCCAAGCAAGCCCTGGTTCTGTGGGCACCCCCGGAGAAAGGCTTTGCTAGCCAGCACGCATTCGGCATACGGCAGGTAGGATCTTGCTGCCTCTTAGCCAGTGATGGACTCGGGACTTCTGATCAGGAGGAAGGGGTTGCTTTATTCCTATAGACACTGACTAGCATTCAGGAGGGTAGAGATGCCAGTGTACGGAGGGTGGGAGGCTGGCTAGCCTGGGAAAACACAGGTCCCTCCTTCTACCCCCAAAAGTGAAAAGGCCAAGGTCAACTTGGTTAGGCCCTCTTCTCCTTACCTTGCAAAATCTCGCTTGGAAAGCGGGAGAAATATTCTACAGGGCCTGACCTGGCATGCTCTCGGCAGCTGCTCCTTCTTTCTTTCTACCCTCCTCAATCCAATTTGCTCGCCTCCTGCTAGGAGGAGAGAAGGCAGCTGGGAAGCTCCGGGATATGGAGGGGCCACAGCTTTGTAAAGCAGCTTTGCTGGAAAGGACATTGTAGAAAGAAAACCAGGGGAGGGAGATTGGAAGGAAGGAGAGGCATAAGTGGAGTTACAAGAAACATCCCTAAAATACCACAGAGTAAAAGAGTAGAAAGGCAATTCTAGTTTTGCTGTGGGAATCTCCTTAATGCCGTGGCTTGCAGAACAGACAAATTCAGCTCTGCCTCCTAGAGCAGGGGACTGGACTTCATGGCCTTATAGGCCTCTGCCAACTCCATTATTCTAGGATGCTTATCCCCCTTTAACTTGAAACGCCTTGTTGAAAAGCACCCCTCGGGCCTTGCTTGTCTTGGGTTCGCATCACGTCCAGTGACACCTGTTTTTTGAAGGTCTCCTGTGCACTTTGCTCAGCTTGAAACACCTTGTTGAAAAGCACCCCCCGGGCCTTGCTTGTCTTGGGTTCACATCACGTCCAGTGACACCTGTTTTTGAAGGTCTCCTGTGCACTTTGCTCATTTACGTAATTCTTGGGAAAGCAGCAGAAACCTAGGAAACAAATCACGGAGAGCAAAGGGCGACAGAAATCTCTCAGCTCTGTGCTGAAAATATCGTGAGCAATGCCAAGAATCCCTTTATCCCAAACCTGGGTGGGGTGGGGAACAGAAAGACTGCACCAGAAGACACAGTAATCCAACCACGGCACCTCTCTGGGCATCAGGACGGACGTGCTGGATGAGACCAAAGCCCGTTCCAAAACAGGCCAGCCAGATGGCCCCATGGGATGCCACGAACAGTACCAGGGCATGGAAACGTTCCACTCCTTGGACCACAGCTATCCTGACTGGATGATTCTGGGAGCCAAAGTCCGAGAAGGGGCATTTCCTGGCTCTGAACAGCATCCTCTCCTTCATGTTTCCTAGCAACAGGTATGCTTTTAAAGCCGTTTGTGTTGGCGGCCACGGTGGGCTTCTGAATGCCATCGTTTTCACCAAGCACCATCGGAAGAAGCCATTCCACCTGCGTCTCCTGAATCCACCATAAGACGTTGTCAAGAGGAGACGGACAGGAGGAGGCTTCCTCGAGAGGTGCTGCTCTGACTACTACTGATGCTATGCCCTGAGGTATTTGATTAGTACCCAAGGCCAATCCTGGTAATGCTTCCGTCTAGCCCAGAAATGGGGGCGTGCAGCCTCCATATCAGTTTTGGCAGATTTCTGCCTCATCTGTACCAAGGAACACTCATGTAAAATTGCAACCTTCACGCCAGTTATTTCTTTAGTGCTTTTGCTTCTTCCAAAGGTCACGGCTATACCCGGGAATCTCAAACTCAACTTGATCTTTGCAATGGTATTGACTCTGAGCGCCTGGCCTTGATGGCAGCTATTTTAAGCACTCAGCCTCCTGCTTGTCCTCCCTTCTCTCTTTTAATTAGAACCTTGGGATAAATTCATCCTCCACCCATTTCTCTTCTTCTTTCTATTTGACATTCACTTGAAAGAAAACCCTCCTTTTGAGTAAAAGGGAAATTTCGGGACCGTGAATGTGGAAGAGCACTCATTGAGACCAAGCATCAAAACTGCCGGCTGCCTAGCTTATGGAACTCATCTGGAAACTCGAATGAAGGCCGGCCGACTTCGGCACCAGAGAACCCCAGAGGGAGATATCTGGGACCTAGCCTTGAACCCGACCTTATTTTCAGAATGTGTTTATTGAGCACAAAAGCAGAATCCTGGAAAATGGAAGGTAAGGGAGATAAAGAGGCCCCGGAGGGCTGACCAGGTTTATTTCTCACCAAATGGAACACAAGGCTTCCGAGATATTCCTATGCCTGGCTACTTCTAGCTGCATTTATTCTTGAGAAGACACGAATGCATGTTTAGGCTCTGCTCACTTTTAAAGTCTTGGAAGGAAAAAAAAATCACAGAAAAGACTGAAAGGAGGCATTTCAGCCAGGCAGGTCCCTAGTTGTGTTTCAAATTTATTTGGTCACCCTGCTTCTTCGCCTCCTTCCTAGCCATTTTCAAGGGAGAACTGGTGGTTGGTACAGATATCTGTTTACACAACCACACCACATCAAGAAAAAGACTTCGGACAAGACTGTGGGAGCTGCAAAGACCTGAAGCGGGAAAGGGTCAAGTCAGCTTCTGGGTCAGAACGATCAGCACTAGCATGGCTACCCATCGTTTTACCCCTCACCTGACATCAAAATCTCCCAAGCAGCTGGAAAAAAACCCAGCAGGCTGGTTTTTACTATCAAATATACTGTATTAGGTAGGGCTTCTGTTGCTGAACTCCTGCCTGTATTAAATGGCTAGGAGTGCTGCCAGAAACCAGGGGTCGATTCTACCCATCAAGCGTTGTTTCTCATGAGAGTTAAACAAAAACAACAAGGAAAACACTCCCATGAAATCTTAACCACTTCCAAATGAGTGAATTGTACTGACAGGATTTTCAGTCAGTTAATCTATTAATTAATCCTGAAAAATATATACCCTAAATAATGACGTTCTATCCTGCTTTTTCCCTCAGTTGCAATAACGAATGCAGCTCACAATAATCTAACAATAAAACTTATTCTAAAGTATTAAGTATTTTAAGAGGGAAAACTACATTCCAAATAATAAAACACGAGACGGGAGATAATGGGGTGAATCTAAAATGAGTTACACTTAAAACTGCACCAAATGAAATGAACAGGACTTTTCACTGGTTATGACCAGGCTAAGCCACTATGATTACAGTGGGTTTAAACCAGGCACGACTAAACCAGCATCCAGTCCCATGCCTTTTAAGGCTGTTTGTTGTTGCATGGTGTTTCTATTGCATATTTGTGACTGTGGAAACATTTTTGGTTCTATTTATTGTTTGTCAACCTGATGATCTTTTCACCATAAACACCTTAATAAACAATACGTAAAATGTAACCTCTCACGACTCCAGACGGCACAATAAAAAAAAAACACCCTAAAAACTAGCCAACGTTTTAAGTCTATTTTGTAGAGAGTACTTTAAAAAAAATTTATTTATTTATTTGAATTCAACTAAAGCATCAACATCCAAAAAAACAAAAACAGAGGAAGAAGAAGAACAGTACAGTACTTTTGAAGCAACCACGTGTACCTTGAGCTATAAGCCATTTTTAAAGCATGACTCAAGACGGGAAAATGGCTCAGCAAGGCACAGAAGCAGGGACAAATCCTGTGTGCTTGTGGTTATTGAAACGGAATTTAATGTTTTCACAGGAGCATTTAAAAGGCTATTCCAAATTATTCTGACATGGAGTCATGAAGAGCCTAATCCAAGTTAGTTTCCAGTTTCCCCCTCCGAAATGCTGCACAGAAAAATGTTCCTTCTATTTACCTCTGTATCAGAGAAAGAAAGGAAAAGAAAGGCAAATGCATTTCTCCAGAGAACGTTTGCAAGACAAGTTGTCATTAAAGGCTCTGGAACTAGGGGGGGAAAAGAAGAAAAGGGGGGAAATGGGATCCCTTAGTAGCTTTATGGCAAAGAGTGCATGGGGTCAGTGCATCCTCCCAGGAGAATACGGGCCCAGGTGGATAGTGGTGATTTTATAAGGGAAACTAAAGTTTCAACTCAAGACATCTGAGTGGGCCAGTTATGGCTGGCAGGTTTCTTGCTGCTGCTGCTGCCACCTCACATAAAACCCAAGTCACTGCTTCCTACATTAAACAGGGCAAAAATCCTCGGATCCACAGATCGGCAAGCCTTTCTCTTTCTTATCTTACATCCCAACGATCCTGGTTATCCAAGAATCAATGACAGAAACAAAATAAATATTTCTGCGTTTCCTGGCATTCTGGTACAGTACTGCGTTTATCATTTCTGGCAAGTTTCAACAGACACAAAAGTATTATTGGAGGCAAACGCACCATAACGCGAACCAAAACAAAGAATGGTAATAAGACGCTAAGACTATAAACGTTAGAGCTTCGCTAACTGCTGAACGCAAAGACAATAACAAACCCACCCACCCTCTTACTTTTTAAGGGTTGAGATATACCCAGCCCCTAATGAATTGCATCCTGCAATGATCCATGTACAAATAATGCAAAAAAGGGCACAAAAATCTTGACCACGAACATATTTGACTTTAAAAGTGGGCAAAACATGTGCATCTTTGTGAGAGAAAAAAGAGAGAGAGAGAGAGAGAGAGAGAGAGAGAGAGAGAATGTGTGTTTAAGGCAAGGAACAGATATAAGTTGAGGAGGATGGAAAGGAAAAAGCAAAATACCACCACTACTACTACTACTACTAGTAGTAACAACAAAAGAGCGTAAGGCAGCTTTATTTCCACCACCTCCTCCTCCTCCTCCTCTTCCTGGGCCTAGTTTGGCTGCCCGGGCAAGGCCGCGCCAGCTGGCAGCATCCCCGGTTCCGGTTCCCATGGCAACACTAACAGCGCCGCCAGCCTGCTTGGAAAGGGAGCCGGGATGGCTAAGATGGTGGACGTGGGCTCAGGTCTAGAGAGCCGGGACGTGGCCTCCCTCCACAGGGATCAGCTTGAGAAGCTGCTGCAGTTTAAGGTGGGTAGCAGACAGGAGGAAGAGGAAGTGGGGGGGGGCATTGTTTCCAAACAGAAAAGATAAAAGAGAAATGCCCAGCCGCTCCTAGTCCTAACGAATGGCATTCTGCAACGATCCTGGCTCTTCTCTTTGCCTGGGGCGAACGTGGCCCCCCCCCCGAAAGACAGGCTGCAGGACTCGGTACACCCCTCGGGAGGAACGGCAAGGGTCTGGGAGGGGATATGAAAAGCATCTTGCATTTTGTTCAAATCCAAGATGAAGGGGGACATGATAAATGCACACACAGTGCAAGAGGTTAAAAAAATAATAACGAAGAAGCTGCAAATACCGAGAAGCTAATTTCCTCACCCCCATTTCTGGGTGATGGGGGTTTCAAACTATCAGAACTTTCTTACACAGATTTAAATTTTGGGGTTTTACAGTTTAGAAACAGGGTCCCAGAGACTGCTGGGGAATATTTGGGCTCCCTCCATAAACTCCCTCAGCAAAGAAAAAAAAAGGGTGTCGGCGTTCACAACCTGCTCCAGAGGGTTCAGCACAAAATATCAGGTGGTGGTGGTTGTTTTTCTTTTGGGGTTTCATATTTCTATCCAAATAAATTATTTCATGGGTCCCAGCTTGAGAACGTCCTTCCTTTGCGTTGTGTATGTATGTTTGTGTGTATGTACAAGGCTCTTTGCTACTTCAACAGCCTCCTCCCTCCCTCTCGAACTGGAGGCTCCCGTTTTTCTGCCTTCCGTAAATCTCTGCCTGGATTTTATCTTCTTATTTCAATGGCGAGCCATGCCTATAATCCAGGTAAAAATAAAAGCTTGCACATTTAGCCCCTGTGCAAATGGGTGGAATGATGCAGCCCCCTGTTCCCAAAGATCCCAGAGTCCTTGGCTTCATTCATCCCACAGGAACTGCCCAGGGACCTCCCAAACCTGTGAGTTCGGTCCTCCCCCCAGCCATTAGGCTTTGCCCTCAATGGGGAAAAGGGTTTAAACCCATCCAATCTCATTCTTCTTATTCTTTGCAACTTGGGAGGCTCCTCAACCATCAATGGCCAGCCGCTCAGGTGACAATGGTCCTACCTGCTGTTGGCTTCAAAGGCCTCCTTCCCATTTCTGCCTGGAGCATCCTCTTCTACCTGTCAATCTCCCCCCCCCCCNNNTTTGTTTCCCCTTTGAACACTGACAGCCTTAACTGATCCAGGACTGAGAATACGGGATGGATTTCCAAAGGCAGGAAGCAGGTTGCCGAACGTTTAGTCGCACTTTCTCTCCCCCCACCCCCGAGTAAAAACCCGCTGATTTCAGGGTTCTTCCTGCCTCACTGCCAGCATAGAAAGAAGAGTGATAGCAATTCATAGTAAAGAAGCTGTAAAAAGGGGTGTTCCAAAACTGCACGGCCTACACTGCAGGGTGAGTGGAGCAGCTCTTTTCAAGCACCCCTTCTCACAGCCTGCCTTTCCAAACTGTGCAGCGACTGACCTGCGACACTGTTGAGAAAGGGTGTTCAATTCCCATCTTAACAACCCCATCTGTCTCCCAGTCGTGGGTCCTGTGTCTTTTCCCTTCTCAGATAAACTGACCTTTCAACACTCAGCACTGTTTATCTACGTTCCGTAGCTGACAGTTTCTCCCTGATCGGCTAGGAAAAAATGGACGCAACTGTTCTCATTTAAGGGATCAGGAGCCCAGTAAAGCAAGTGGCAGATTTTTGCCTTCACATACACGAGGTTAAGAATGTAAAGGACAAAAAACTTAAAGCTAATATGTGCAATCAGGGCCTTGCATCCAGGTACTTAAACTGCAGCTCATTCTTTAATCCGTGCGGTGCTCCTGTTTCCTCTTAGATAAACACCAAGATTGCTAATGAGAAATACTTGCGTTCCCACAAAGAAGTGGAGCTGCTGCTGTCAGGATTTCTCAGGTAAGGTTCACATGTTTTGTCTTGTTTTTTAAATGATGAAGGGATAAAAGCAAACAAACCACACCAGATCTGGAGGACTGAATGCCTTGCGACAGGCGGTACACTTTTTTGGGGGGGCTGTTCAACTCATGCTAATGCATTTGAGCAGAGCATGGTAGGTTGAGAGGATAAATTCTGGTGCAGCTGGTCCTGAAAGAAATAGGAGGGAAGGCAGGTATCAGAATAACCTTTGCAAAGGTTGTTCTAATGCCTGGAGCCCACAGGTAGGTGGAAGAAAACAGATAAACCAGAAAGGTATCCTTCTAGAGGCAAAACACGGGGCACTGGGGCAAATAGTGTCTTCCTCTGGATTTGCCTTCTCCCACTGAGTTGTATAGGATATCAAGAGGAACACTTCTTCAATATGAAGAAAGGCTTAGCTCCAGTGAGTTGTATAGGATATCAAGAGGAGCACTTCTTCAATATGAAGAAAGGCTTAGCTGTGTCACAGGTATAACAGGATCATGTGCTATAAAATGGTCCATGACCATAGGAATGGAAATAATAATTCCATTGCTCCTCCAGAGAACAAATTTAAATCAAATTACATCTTGCATGTAATTAAGAGGACAGTTTAATTGTTCACGGCCCGAGAAATCCTGAAAGCAGTGTCTATGCGGTCCCAAAAGTGCTTGCTTCCTAGATTAATAGACATTCCCTCCTCTCTCCACCAAAAAATATGAGAAGCTTAGTACTCTGTGATTTCACTGATAACTATCTGAGCTAGCATAGTCCAAGAACTCTGTTGTTGTTTGTTACACACCATCGCTCGGATTTGTGGCGATCCTATGAATGAGGGATCTCCAGAATGTCCCGTCCTCAACTGCCCTGCTCAGCTCTTGCAAACGCATACCTGTGGTTTCCTTTAGGGAGTCCAACCCCTCTGATATTTGGCCTTCTATTTTTCCTAGTATGATTATCTTTTCCAGAGAACCCTGCCTTCTCATGGGCTGCCCCACAGTAGGACCGCCTTGGTTCCACATTTTTGCCTCCAGAGAGTGTTCAGGCTTGATTTGATCTAGGACCCACTGGTTTGTTTTCCTGGCAATCTATGGAGAACCGCACCGTGCGGTTTTACTGAAGGCTCAGGGCACTTTTGACTCAGGGACGATGGCGCACTGGCCGACTTCTACCTTTTCAGTGAATCAACCCTACTGCTGTTAGCTGCTCACTACGAAGCAGTTATTTTCATTTATAAGACACCTGGGTTGCTTTTATAAGCCAGTCCTTCGTCCTTTGGAACTTTCCGTGCAATTTCTTCCCTCCCACTCGGGAGGGCTGGCTTCCTAGCGCCTTTGCTAATTGCTTCATCGATTCCCAATGAAGGAGCGGCGTAATTCAGAAGAGGTATTTTTAATTGGTATAAATATTTCCTTGGCTCTGTGAGGGTTGTTATGCTCTTGTATACTTTTTTTAAAAAAATAATAAATAAAACTACTTCCACCTCCCTCCTTGCCAAAGGTGGATGCAGATGTAAATTAAATGTTTCTCCTCTGCTGCTAATTGGCTTATTGATTCCCAATAAGGAAGGAGTAATTTGCCAATTTGTCTTGCACACCTTTGACAAGGACCTACAAAATCAACAACGGGGGGGGGGAGAAATGCAACCTTTAAAAAAGCTCTTTTTAAAGTCTCTTTCTCTGTCTCCCCTTCCTCAACAATTCTTTCCAGAGAAGTCCTCCTGCAGAGACCAGAGAATATACGGGAGTTTGCAGCTGGTGAGCATTTATATTTATATTCCACATTAGAAGACCTTGATTCCTCCGCTCCTCACATAGTCATGCAATATAATTCTTGTCCCATCCACTTTACGGCACAAAATACCTGGAATCTGGCATCAAACCCTACTTCTATACTGGCAGAGCCTGCCTCTGATTGGCCGGGATACATTGTGCATTACTGAATGTCCAGAGACATTCCAACTGCTCAAGGGAGAAGGTGGGAACACAGTAAAAGATTCAGGCATTTCTACAAGATTTTAATGCATTCCACCTACTGCCACCTACCAAGGAGAGTCCCAATGCCGTGAATCTGGGAGCTTGTACGTCACCCTTTAACTTTTGTCTTTCAAAGATGTCTTATTTTTCTTTACGCATCTAATTAATAAATTAATGAAAATTTCTATCTTGCCTTTCTGCTGGAAACGGCACTCAAGGTAGCTAACAATAAAAGCCTTCAAATGAGAACAGAGGTAGCAGTGAAACCGAAAAACTGGTCACCAACAAACCAAAAGACTCCCATAAGATTATCAATATCTCCCTAAAAACCCTAGAGCAACTAAATTAAATGCAAAATGCCATTGAATAAAAACGTTATTTGCCTAACCGTGGAAATGCAAGAATAAGGGATCAAGTCTATCCCTCCTTAAGAGTTCCAATTTTAAACAAAGTTACTCTAAAAACCAAGCAAACACTCTTAACAATACCAACAAATCTGACAAGTGGTGGCACTGAAATCATTCCCCTAACTAAGAAAGAGCAATAATAACAATCTAAAATCAGTTTAGAATTGAGGTTAAGATTTAGCATTTTAAAATGGATGGGTGAACAGCTTCATGTTGATTTTGGCATGGGGGAGAAAGCAAAAGTCACTGCACCAGTCTTTTTCCCAAGGGCATCCCTAAGACAGAGGGTCAACACAGAAAAGGCCCTGCTGGTTTGGTAAGCATGTAAGATGGCCCTTTCTGAAAAGTCTTCCCTGAAGACTTTGTGAATTTCGTTGTTGTGAATTTCGTTGTATGTGTATATACTTACAATGACAATAAATTATTATTATTAAGACTTTAACTCACAGGCAGAATAACATAAGGAGGTGCCATTCTTTCAGATATTCCAATAGGGAGAAGTCAGAGTTTTTAACGATGATAACCAGCATCGTGGCTCAGGCTCCCTAGCAAATGTGGAGTTCCATATACAATGTGTTACTGCAATCCAAGCAGGAAGTTACCTGTTGTGTTCAAGATGGTAGTGATGAGTCTACATGGAGGCAAAAGGATGTACCACCTTCCTCCAAAGAGTGTTGGAGCCCCTCTGAAGTCTTCTACACCTCTTGTTCAAGGCGTTCCAGGCTCCGTCCCTTCCCAATGGGACGGGCCTTGAAGACAAGCTAGCTCTTCCTCCCTTCAACAGCTAAGGCCTGGCGTGCATGCTGACATTGCTTCACAGTTCTAGGGATCGTCAAGCATTTCAAAGAGACGCATGCTAAAGCGAAGCTATGCTTAGGGGTTGCCACTCCTGCTGGTCTGGGTGTTCAGGACTCGGGCATAGAAGTTTCAGGTCTTGAAGCTACGGGGCCTGAGGCTCTCCAGTGTTGCTCTGACTTGGTGTACCTTCTGCCGACAATGATTATTCCTCAGTCTCTGTGCAAGCCACCATTGGGGTTCTGACACTATCTGCATACAGATCTCTGTATCAGGGCTACGACTGTACAGGAAACCTTGTTAGAGTGAATCGCCAATGCCGTCATTCTTTAGGGTCTGGCACTGTTAATGGGATGTTAAATCCTTTTTTAAACGGAGCCCCTCTGAAGTCTTCTATACCTCTTGTTCAAGGCTTTCCAGGCTCCGTCCCTTCCCAGAAAATGGGACGGGCCTTGAGGACAAGCTAGCTCTTCCTCCCTTCAATTAGCTGAGGCCTGGCGTGCATGCTCACATTGCTTCACAGTTCTAGGGATCGTCAAGCATTTCAAAGAGACGCATGCTAAAGCGAAGCTATGCTTAGGGGTTGCCACTCCTGATGGTCTAGGTGTTCATGACTCAGGCATAGAAGTTTCAGGTCTTGAAGCTACGGGGCCTGAGGCTCTCCAGTGTTGCTCTGACTTGGTGTACCTTCTGCCGACAATGATTATTCCTCAGTCTCTGTGCAAGCCACCATTGGGGTTCTGACACTATCTGCATACAGATCTCTGTATCAGGACTACGACTGTACAGGAAACCTTGTTAGAGTGAATCGCCAATGCCGTCATTCTTTAGGGTCTGGCACTGTTAATGGGATGTTAAATCCTTTTTTAAAAGTACAGAATGGGCAAATGATGGTCTTCCTGTCTGCAAGCTTCAAATGCACAAATAAGAACCAGACACCAGCCGGCCGGTGCGCAGGATCAATTTACGCGAGGCAGCCAGTGGTGGAACCAGGAAAAGGAAATAAAGGGGTGAAGCACACTGGAGACAAAATAGATTTCTAATACAGTGAGAAGCTTCATCCCACATATTAGATTTTGGGAGAACAGAAATTGTGGTGCCTTTCAAGTTAGCCACCCTCTTCTAAAGTTTGAGTGTTTTAATTCTGTGTTTTAAATGGTTTGATTTTACATAAAGCTCTTCAACCCATCCTGAGATCCGGTGACGTAGAGCGGCCTATACACGTTTTAAATCAGAGCTGGAAGGGACCCTGTGAATCCTTCGAGTCCAGCTCCTGTCAAAGAGGCACCCCTGGGGAACTGAACTCCCAACCACTGGCTTTGCATCCAGAGACCTAAACCACTGAACTATAAATAAAATATAAATAACAAAAATTAAACCATCCTGTTTTTTCATGATCACAGTAATTATGTAATAATAATAATATGCTGTTGGGGCAATTATGACTTAGGGCAACCCTTCCCAGTGTTTGCTGGGGAGAGAGACGTGTTTTATCGTTCCCTTCTTCTGGAGGTGCCCTGGGACAGGGCGTGTTTCATTGTTCCCTTCCTCTAGGGGGAGCCCTGGGACTGTGCAGTTCGCCCAAGGCCACCCAGGCTGGCTCGACTTGGGGAGGGAATCAAGCTCCCAACTTCTGATTCTGCAGGAAGAAGGCTAACTCATGGAACTATCCAGCCACCTATTACCAGGGCAGGATTTTAAATTTAAGTAAGACCCCACAGGGGCTTTGTAGAGTCCAGCAGATCATGAAGCTGAAGGCCCCCCACCCCCCTTTCAGCAATTATGAGTGAAGAGGAAGATGCTCCGGTTGGGGGGGGGGGAGGAACAACACAAATAAACGGAAGCTATTCCAAAGAGGCTCGCTGGAGCTCTGGCAACGGGGCTGGTGCTTGGGAGTGGCTGGTGCAGCCGGTCCCCTTTGCTGTCAGAATTGTGATAAAAGAGAACGCAGAGTACAGATTCGACAACTCAATAAGAGGCGCACGCAGGGAAGACAAGAGATGACGAGGCCGTGTCCTCTGTTCTTTTCTCCTTCCTCCGTTTGAAGAACGATCGCTTAAGGTTGGGGCGTATAATTCTTCCCCCCCCTCCCCCGCTATGAGAGGTTTCGCATCAGGGAGAAATCCAGGGTGTTGTGCTGGTGCCGGCCCTCCTCTTCTGTCGCCGTGTCTCAGGGCCTAATATCAGAGAGAAATCCAGGGTGTTGTGCCGGTGCCGGCCCTGCTCTTCTGTCGCCGTGTCTCAGGGCCTAATCCATCTTTCTCTTCATTCTTTTATTTCAGATTATTTTACCAACCCAGAACTCCCCAGGAAGATCCAGCAGGAAATGATGGAGAACCTCAACCAGGCCCTCTGACAGTCCTGTCACCCCATCGGCCCCTGGCTATCAGCAGACACAAGCACGTCTTGACACTTGCTCTCTCCATTTCGGCTTCTTGTCGTAACAAACATGGCTTTCCCACCCCACAGGGTTTCGCGGCCCTTTGCTTTGTCATGCTTCTCAGGACCCACTTCTTCTTTCGCATTTCTTCTCTGCTGTTCTTCTCCTAGCAACTAAGGCTGACAATAAAGCTGAACTTTGGGGAGAAAACAGATGAACTGTAGCTGTACATTTGTGCTGATAAATATCTACTCAGGGAAGAACCATGTTGCCCATGGGGCCTTTTAAAAAAAGGTGCAGAGTAGCTAGAAACCAACTAAGACCCACACACCCTTACTTACAGTAGGTGTTAAAAATCTCATGGATCTCAACAGAAATTACATCCAAGTCCACATGTTCAGGGCTGCATTGGGACTTGATCAAGACAACTTTCCTGTATGTCTAAGCCTTAGGAATAGCTCAGAGGTTTAGGTACATGGCTGTGAAACCACAGGTTGGGAGTTTGATTCCCCACTGTGCCTCCTCAGCAGGAGCTGGACTTGATGATCCATAGGGTTCCTTCCAGATTTGCAGTTCAAAGATTATTATTATTATTACTACTTCCACGTTCAACCTGCTTGACTTAAAGCTATTAAATGAATTCTTCCCTCCTTCTTGAAGGATATGGGTATACTTTTTGAGACCAAGTGTGTCGACTGCTCACAACCTAGGGGATGAATCCACCTGACGTAGCCAGGCAGTCCAAGGCCTGGGATGTAGGGTGAAGAAGGAACACCCTTGTAAAATATCGGGAGGTGTGATTCTTTGCTGCCACCCAGCGGAACTCAACAGGAAAAGGGAACTCAATCTTGCAAATAGGTAGGAGGATGAGATGCTCAACTTTTAGCAAAGCATTGTTTCTTCAAGGAAGACAAGCAAACTAGGGATCTAGCAGAAGAGGTTAGATCTCAATTCTTACTACAGCCCGTTAGTTGCCTCGGCTCTTCCAACGGCTGCCTGTGATTCCTCAAACACTGCCAACTATTCAGGGCTTAGGAGCTGCCTGGGATAAACCTTGACCCGACAGGGCGGAGTTTCTGCGGGTAATAACTCAAAACATCTGGAAGGCCAAAAGCTGAGAATTTCTTATCATTCTCAATGTGGTTGAATTCTGTTAAGGCTTCCATGTTTAGGTTTAAAAAAAACCTGATATGCTGAACAAAGAAGCACAGAACAACGGAAGTTAAAGATGGCTAAGAAAGGGTAGCCAAATCATGAAAGATGGAGATGTTAATGCACGCCACAAGGGATCAAGGGAAAAACATAGCACAGTGGGCAGTCTGTACTCACAAGATCTTTTATGGGTGTGTGTGTGTGTGGAGGGGTGCGCGAACCAACCTCAGGGCCACCTCTTAACATTTGTGACATGTATTGGTTGGGGAAGATTTTTCTATCCTTAACCTCGGAGAACAACTTCTTACTTTTAGATCACCCTAACCGCTCAATTCAAGGTGCAGGTAATGACTTTTAAATAACTAAAGGGTGTGGAATCTATGATCCCCAACGGAGCGCGTCTCCAGGCGCATGACAGGGCGTGAACGCACAGCACAGATCCGCAGCCACCGATATCTGCTGGGGAGGGCCTCCTCTGCATGCCACCAGAAGCTGCAATGCATTTTATGGCAACAGGGAAGAGGAGCACATCTGATGTGGCCAAGGGTGCACAATGACCTCTCTTTGTCAGCCAGACGCACCGTGATGGTGAAGTTATTTTGCCATCAAGTCAAACCTGAGTCCTTCCTAAATTTTGTGACTGACGGGGAGGGGGGAGTCTACCAGTCACAGGATGATCAGATTTGATGGGTTGAATGCACAGGGCAGATACTATTCTAAGCTGATATTACTGGTATTTTGCAGTGTTCGTATTACAACTTTAGATCCTTGAATTTAGAGCAGGATATAAATATTTTAATAATAGCTAAGGAACGAACTGCTGTGGTCTGTGCATCTAGTTTGCCACACCCTCCTCTTTGCCAGCAGCACTCAATTCCCCCCCTCCCTTAGCACCTTCCTTCATTCTTTGGCAGGACAGTCTTCTGACATTATCTCAGGATTCACCTTGGCGGAGCGGGATGTCAACCTTGCCATAACGGATGGGCCTCCCATGGGGAGTGCCAAGAACGCCTCTGAATATTCATGGCCTCCTTGAACAGAGAACCCCTTCTACAGCCCACGCCCAAGCATTATCATATAAGAGCTTAATGATACTTTTGGCGGCTTTCCATGTTTTGCTTTTAAAAGCAAGTGTGTGTGTGGGGGGATGCTTTCCCGTTCTCTTCCCCGCAGGGACACAGGGAAGTGGTGTCAGAGCACCCACAATTCCTTGGAAGCAATAGATTGCTTCCAACCTGAAGTGGAAAAAAAGGTCAAGTTTCCCTCTTTGGAAGAACAACTATCTAAAAAGAATGAAGGTGTAATCAATGATCTGAAAGAAAGGGGCCCACTGTGCCAGCTGGCCATTGTGAGGCGTGAATTTACCCCCGTGCGGGCTGAGATAGCACTTCCAATACCGAAGGCGAGCACAACGTTATTAAGGGCACTGAAAGATAGGAGATATCAGAGAAAAGAGGGCATGCCTGCTGAGAGTAAAAACTGCTGGTCACATCCGAGATGTCCTTCGAAAGGGAGGGTGTCTGGGCCGTAAGCTTCACGCCTGTATTTCTCCAGGTGTCATGTGGAAGAGAACGCTGTCAGCTATCCACTGCGAGGTGTGTGCAGACACTGAAGTGCAAGTCATTACAGATCCTGTGGGCCTGCCGTTTTTAAAAAGCTACTCTTCTGAAGTTGATCTAAAAGCACCTTGTATAGTCCATTATTATTATTATTATTCACGTCATCATTATCACTATAAGAGAGACCTGCAAACTAAAACCTGGCTGGAGATTTAAAATTCACATCACTCTCTCTCGTCTCTTCAGCTCCTGATCCGTCTGTCACTTGTCCCCTTCTTAGCTCTCCTCTCCTTCTGCAACTTTGCTTCCTAGCATTCTCATTTCTATGGATCACTCCTGATCTTCTGTTTTTAAGATGACTGGTTCTTCAACCTGCCTCCTAAGGTCCTTCTGCCAAGCTGGTCCCTCCAGGAAGTCATAGCAGCCTCAGCCAAGGGCAAATCAATGGCCCTTAGGGTCAGTACAAGCTCGGCCAAGGGCAATCCTGTGACCTTCCCAGGTGCTGCTCTGTGACAGTGAGGCACCACAGGCCTCAATATGCCATCAATCAATGCTAAGACTCCACCCCTACAAAAACCATTCCAGCAAACTGCAGCGGAGATATGCTTATCTAATTATGAATTTAGAGGCGAGGAGTGTCTTAATGGCTTCTTTCATCTGCTTGTCTTCTCTGGATCGCAGAACGGGGCCTCTAACCATAATGAAAAAGAACATATGAGACAGGTGTATCTTTATTTACAAGGTGTTCATATTTCTCCTGCTTTTTGTGAGATGCATGTTCAGAAGTGCAGAAGCAAAAGGAACTGCTGCCATTATTTCATGCAAAAGAAACCTGTTTTGTTATAGACTGAAGTTGCTTCTAATATTTAGGAAGAAGACAAAACATTTTTCCTTCCACTTCAGTGACCATTCCAGCCGCCTTCAAACACAAGAGGGCCCAGCTTCTGGCAAACTCAAACTGAGGTTGGCCTCCCTTTCTGGAACCGTGGAGGCACACGGATTGTCTCCAGTGCTTTGCCTGTTTCCCCATCCTCTTCCTTGAGGCTTCGAAAGGGAATTCACCAGGGCTGCTCAGGGGTGGCTTGGGGCTCGGGCCTGGCCAGCCAAAGCCTTTCACTTTCGGGCATGGGCGTCGCAGACCTCACCACCGATATGGGCACCCGGATGGTGTCAAGACCGTTCACCTGCAATGTACAAGGAAGCAGAGATGGGAAAGGAGCTCGGGTGGCACCCCTGGACCATACACCAGAGAGTTACAAGGGTCAAGAAGAAAAGGAAGTGCTTAAAGAAACACTGTGGTTGCCTGGCCTGGCCTGCTGGAGACCAACACCATTTTACAGTATGCATACATCAGCTAAAGAAGAATTCCCTTCGAGGAAAAAAAAGGACACAGATTTATGCAATATACACCCTACACATCTATATACCATTCTCCTCCCTCTGAATCATCTTGCCAACTTTGGTGGGTCACGGAAGGCCTGGAAATGATGAAAGGGAAAAGTCGCAACACCTGGAGATCCTAAAAACCTTCCACTTGCCAGTCTACCCTTTCAAAACCCTCCTCCCCTCCAAACCTCTACACCCCACCCCAAACAGTACAGTCTGGCAGTCACTTTTGCTTTTAGGGAGTCCAACAACCGTGGCACCAATTATTAGGATCACCTCAGCCCTATTTGCACGGCCAACAACAAAATAGTCTTGCCCTTAAACAAAGCCTGCCAATGCAGCAGAAGCTGAACGCATACAACAGGGGAGAGCAACAGTCAGCTCGTACCTTATTAAGGAGATAAGAACGCCAACCAAAACAAACAAAACATTGAAAAGCTCTTGCAACAGGTGGTGACTGAGGACCATTTTTCACTTGCATCAACCATGCTTTCTGCCTCTCACTACACAGGGGCACTTAAGTTTTCGTTTCTGCATCCTCAGAATACATCATGACCACATCTGGTTCATACCGAAGGTTCATCTATTCCTGTGTCCTATTCCACCCCTCCCCTGCCCTGCGGCCACCCGGATGCATCCACGGGTAGCCCGTGAGCCAAGCATGAAGACAACAGCCCTGTGATGGGAGCCCTCCTCAGCACCTTCCACTCAACGGGTCCTTTTAAGCAGAAAAGTAGGGTAAAAATATTTTCAATGAGTACAAAAATAAGGGGTCTCCACCAGCCACCAGAGATGGTCACTGTCAGCTGACCTGTCTTTTGTGGCTCATCTCCAGCTGGACGTCCATCTGTGGTTCCACCTTTTTCAGAGCTGTCCCCAGCAGACCCAAGCACTGTGGAAAAGTGCCCCCAGAATACATGCCACTGTTGGCCTTACCGTGACGTCGCACCAGTAATCACCCAACTGCGTAATCGGCTCGTCTGGCAGCTTCAGAGCATGCAGAGACACCACGACCCCGAGCTGAAAGAGAGAAAAGGCAACGTTATCAAGGGTGAGCCGCTTCCAACGGCACAAAGACACCACTTGGAAGGAGATCCCATTCCAAAGGATAAAAGCTCCTTCCCCCTCTCTGTATGGTTCCAGACTGCAGAAGGCTCGTCCCCTCAGCCAGGATTAACCCTCTCAAATTCTCTGAAGAGCAAACCTTTTCTCAGCAGCCGATCCAAACTGTTCAGCACAAAAAATAAAAATAAATAAATCATGGTTTTGCCTTCTCTCAAACACTTTTTAAAAACAGTCTAACGCTAAAGACGGCTGTCACTGTATCAGGGATCGCGTAACTTACAAGTGGTGCGAGTTTTGTTTGCTGTATTGAACTGGCACAAATATCAGTATTTTTTAAAGACATGCCCCTTTGTGTCTCTTGCTAGTTTTAACATAATGTGCCTGTCTCTGGAAGAGAGCACACTAAAGAGGGAACGCCTCGGGTAAGTTGGCATGCCACTCTACAGTTTTTTAAAAGTTACTTGTAGGTTCTGATGGATGGAATGGGGGAAAAGTGTTTGTTTGCTTTTAGCACAAGTTAATCAGCTGAATGGGCCAAGGACGTTTGCTATTTTGTGAATGGACACTCTTAAAAGGTGACAGAAGAGAGCTACCTGGGTTACTGAGCATGTACAAGACCTCCAGGTGGCTGCAGGAGAGTGAAAAGGTTACAGATCAAAATATTACAATAAAACAACACATATTTTTGTTTGGAGAACACAGAGAACTGTATATCCATTTGAAGGACAGAAGGAGGCAATGCCTCCTGATGAAACACCATCATCCCAACTTGCAAACATTTGCAACCTTGACCATGGAACACAGAAAGAAAATACAAATATATCCAACTTGCATGGAACACAGAAAGAAAATACAAATATAAAAGCTGCAAGACTCACATTCCGGTAAAATTGGTGAGCCACAATCTCATTGGTCAGCTCAAACTGGTCACAGTCATTCACTCCAATTTCAAGACTGCAGTTCCGCAGAAACCGAACCGTCTACAAGAAGGAAGAACACCAACATCCTTTAAAATAAGCCAGTGAAGGATTTAGGTTGACCTTATTTATACTGGCTGGTTGATGAATCATATTAACCTCACATGGCGAGCTGGATGGATAGCTCAGTGAGTTGGAGACGTTGGGAGTCTGATACCTCACTGGGCCTTGGGCAAGATACACCGTCCCAGAGTGGCCCCAAAAGTAGAGACTGGTAAACCATGAGCTGGATGGATAGCTCAGTGATTTGGAGAGGTTGGGAGTCTGATTCCCCACTGGGCCTTGGGCAAGATACACAGTCCCAGGGTGGCCCCAAAAGTAGAGACTGGTAAACCATTTAAAAAATAACAATTTTTTTTGTTACTGTGCCTCCCTTCTGGGGACTTTCTCCTCAAATTACACTTACTGTGTTTTGGAAGACATGCGGTAGCTCACCTTTATGGCAGAGTGACTTTGGAGTCTCGGCAGCTTTCCTTCAGCACGTAACTAGGGGAGAAAAAAAAAAACCTAACATGAGACAGATTCTTTGTTTTGCTTTGGGCTTGGTCCAGCTCCGCAGTTACTTTCCGCACAGCAGGCAAGGTGCACATAGTACAGTACTGCTACTCACTCGCTTTTCCTCCTCAAATATCTTCTTGTTCTCAGGGGAGGCATAAACAGCCTTGTTTTCGGCCAGAAGTATGTTACGACCAAACGACGGGTGTACTGAGACAAGATCACCACGATTTCCCACATCTGCAAACAAACAAATAGAGCATTTGTCTGCAAAGAATTATCCTTACTGAAGAAAAGGGAATCCCGCTGCCGAGCATTTGTCTACAAAGAATTACCCTTACTGAAGAAAAGGGAATCCCGCTGCCTGCCTTTTTAAAAAAGCATACTCAACAAAGGTACGTCTCCACAGTGTCACGAAAGCAAAGAATTAAGCATCCAGAGAAGGAGCCCAAAATTCCAGAGCTTCCCCTATGAAGGTAATTCTCCTGAGGAAGTAAACCTGTGTCTGCATTGCATTTCTTGAACCCCTAGGTGAGTTGCATATGAGGAAGTGCTCCTCCACGTGAAAAGTAAAAATCCCTGCACATAGAAAACTAGTAGAAAAGGTATTTTTCCTCCTCCTCTGGGAGAAGAGTTCATGCGTACCCCTCCTGGAACAAGCCAGCATTCTAGTCCAGGTACTGTATCTGTCTTTTTTTACATAGAGAAGCACCCCACCAGGTAAACTCATATCTCCAGTCTTCGGCGGAACAGCCCAGATGATAGAGTAAGCCTTCTATGTTGCTACAGGGAGCGCTGAACCCTTTCCTTCCCAATCATTTACCCAGACAAGATCTTATTCCTACATATCCCCACACGTTCAGGTGCTGCCTTTATCTCCAGACAAGAACTTATTCCTACATATCCCCACACGTTCAGGCCCGGGGTTTCCCTCCGACAGCAAATTCACCTCTCTTTAGGAAGCCCTAGTTTGATGTGAAAGGCTCCGTCCTTTCTAAGCAGAGTATACAAAAGCAAAAGCACATTCTGCTCAATAAAGCATTACTGTATAAAAGATGGAAGTCGAGCCACAGAGAATCTGCCTGGCCTGGGTCAGAAAAGGAAACCCACCCTCCACACAGTGTGTGAGGATCAGTTCCAGCGGTGGCTTCGGCACATGTTTGAGGTCCTCCACCAGTCTGAAGACGCGATAGCGGCGATGCTTTATCCGAGGCGGACGCCCTTCCTTGCTCAGGGGCACTTGCCACCATCGTTCTACGATCACAGTTTCCTTAAAGGGAGAGACAAAGAACGTCAGTAACTGGTCCTATTCAGCCAAGTCCTTGTTCTCTGACTCTCTACGGCCAGCAGCTCCTGACGTTTCTCCATTTATTCCTCATCTACCTAGACTAAGCTGTGCTGATGATCCCCAAAGAGACTACATGGGGGAAGGAGAACAAAAACTGTAGAGAGAATGGCGTGGGTTTGCTTTTTTCTTGGGTCTCCAAACTATGAATCACCTCAGACTTCCAGGAAGTTAAATAAGTCACGGTTCTGAAACACCTGGAGGCAGTTCACGATATTAGTCCATAACGTATTTTGCACATTATACATGCCTCATAAAGCAAGTCCACCCTCTCATAATTTCCTGCACCTTTTGCATTCCTCCCCACAGATTATTTCTCACTTTCCGTACTGCCCTAGACTTGCACCCAAACCACCCGTCCCCCACGCCTGCCCCCCCCATTCCCTTCCCTGCTCCTCAAGAGCTCCCCTCTTAACCCACCCAGGGTCCGCCGTCCTTTGCCCCCGTATATAGATGCATACACATATACACACCTGGCTGACTCCTAGCAAAAAAGGAAACAAACTACAGTAATAAAATGTGCCTGCATGTGTGAAATATAGACAGTACACGTCTCTGTATAGGAGCAAATAAGAACGGAAAGGGCGCCTCACTCAAGATTTTTCTGAAACTCCGAAGGTTGCCTTTCATCCCTAAAAAAGAGTAACTGGAGTCCAGAAGTTCGCTGTTTCTCAGGCAGCCCACGTACCTGACCGCCTCCGTTTACCTCAGCCATTGCAGAAAGTGGGAGCGGAAACATTTGGCGGGCGAATAGACTTCCCTTTTGCCAGTCCCTCTATTTATTTATTTATGTCTGTATATCTCTCGGGAGATACAGTTATAGATACACAAACACGGGCGGATAAACAGAAGTTTCTCTGCATTGGCCGCAAGGGAGGATGTTGGCTTCCACCTTCTCGAGCTGCTGCCTGGAAAAAGATACTTCCCCACCCCACCCCCTGAAGCATATAATAAGCCTAAATACACACACACCCCAACACAGGCACCTCAGGGATAGCCGTGCATGGGTTTATATAGACCTACACAGGCGTGTATGAAAGGATACGCGTGTTGCGCGTGCACACACGTGCGCCTACTGCACGGGCATCCACACAAACCGTTCCTGACAGACTTTTTTAGCTCCCTCGTCCTCCTCCTCCTCCTCCTCCGCTGCCCCGGCTTCCAATTCCCTCACGCCTCCGTCTCCTCATACAAACACACCTTTTCACCTCCCCCCCCCCCCGCCATAATGCCGTCCCCCCTCAAAACTTGCTTCCTGCCCGACCCTTTCCCCTCTACCTCCTCCTGCTGCCAGCGTTTCTCACCCGCGCCGCAGAAAGCCTGAAGCCCCGCAGCTGAGAGGGAGGCCCGGGCAGATTAAAAGGCCTCCCTGCCGCTTGGAGGGCGCCTCGCGCGGCTCCCCTCAGTCCGGCCGCCAACATGGCCTCCTCCTCCTCCGCCGCCTCTTCCGCGCATGCGCCAGGCCGCGAGGGAGGCAGGCCCAGCTAGGCCGCGCTCGAGCCTCGGCCTCGCCTGGCTCCGCCCACCGGGCTGGGTCGACGCGGCGCGGCAGAGCGAAGCAGGAAAGGCCCCGGGCTGGGCTTTCTTTCTTTTTCAATAAAAGAATGACGGAATGGATGGTGTATTTATTTCTTTATTCCTTTTACCTCAAGATTTCAGTGTCACTTGGACTGAAGGGGCGGGAAGAGGGGAGGCGTCTCCCCGCCCCTTTGAAACTTGTTCTGGGCGGGTTGTCTCTGCCCATGGGCAGAGTGCTCAGCCTAAAATGGAGCAAAGTTTCATTCTTCTGACAGAAAAATGCCACTGGGTGACAAAAAGACAAGTCCCACTGAGTCCAAAACCAAGCCTCACTTAAACCTTGGGATTACAAGCCTCTCCCTGTATTGAAAAGTGATGAAAGAGACTGAAAACCCATGGGAGAAGGGCCTCTGTGCTTTTCCCTGAAGAGAATTAAGAATCCCTTTTTCTAAAAAATTCCGCTCAGGCATAGGTTTCTATGGAGGGCAAGCTCTCTCCCAATGGTTTACAAAATGCGCCAGCATCTCTGTCCATAAAATGTTTGGAGAGGGGAGAATTGGAAAGCCCCTGAGCATGTACAAAGTGTGCTTTCCCTTGAATGGAGCAGGAACAATGGCCAAACTGCCCCTAAAGAGGCACTAGGTGCCTGTAACTGCCACCAAACAGGGCGCTGCTTTCCTAGGGAGAGGAAAAAGAGTGCGGTAGAGCATGTACAAACCACCTCTCCATTCATTCATTCGCTTTATCAACAGCACAAATTCTTTAAAGTGCGTCAACCCCCCTTTGCTACAACACCTAAAAGGGGTTCAAACCTGCCGCTTGGGTAACAATGACCGTATCCAGAGACGGGCAAGGAGGGTGTCATAAGTAGGATTGCTGGCCATCCTCATCACCGTGGCAAGGGGTGGGTGTGCTTGGGCGCGTCATAATGGGGACTGGTGGGTACTTAAGGTGGGGGGCCTGGAACTCAGACCTCACTATGTCTGGGGGAGACATTGCCCGAGAAACGCTGTGAACCCGTAAGCCTGCAGACCCCCCCTTCCCTGGACCCCAAGGAAGCGACGCGGAACCACCTTCTGTCCCCCGTCCCCTCTACAAGCGCCACCCACGAGATCAGCAGAAATGACGCCTTCTGACAAGAGGTAAGCGACTGGGCTCAGTGGGTTGGAAAGCCTGGCTTTCCTAGAGGTAGGGAGCAGGAGTTAGAATCCTCTAGAGCCAGACTCCATCTGGCATGCACACCCACCCACCCACCCACCTCTTTCAATCCTCCAGAGGTAGGGAGCAGGAGTTTGAATCCTCTAGAGCCGGACTCCATCTGGCACGCAAAAACCTCTTTCAATCCTTCCCTTACACCTCATCTGGCAAAACCAAACACAAGATGATGTTGGAGGATGGTTTACGTGTGTTGAGGTGCCAGCATCTGGCGGCTTTCTTTCCTGTTCCTTTCTGGTTAAACGTCAGCATAAGCTTGGCCCCAAATTCACCAACTCCATCTTTTTCCTTTTTAATACATTTTTCTGCCTTCCTTTTCTGAAGCTCGACTCACGTCCAGCAAGAGAGCTTGAGTTTCAGGCCCCGCTACTGCCTGCAGTGTTCCTGAGTTCGAGGGCGGCTGCCCAGACAGGAGAAGAAACGAAGGGGAGGACGGCGCAGGCCTAAAAGAGGTATATAAGGTAAGTCCGTTTGCCTCCAGCCCTCGGGACCCGGCGTCTGGCAGTGATCGTGAAGACTGCAGCTATTGTTGGCATATAAATACAATGAATGCAGCTGTGAAAAATATTAGGCATGTGCCCCAAGGGGCTAACAATCTAAACCTGAGCACAGGAGACAAAGGGAAGAGAAATCAAGGAAGGGAGAGGAAAGAAAGCATGGCAAATATTGTATTTGATGGGTCTGACAGTATGGTCACAAGCAACCAGTGAGGCATTCTGTGGAGTAAAATCAGCCCTTTTGCTCAGTCACTGAAAACATTAAATGCAGTGGCAGATTGGCCACTTGGAACGTCCCTTCTGTATGAGGCAAATGGATGCTGCAAGAGAAACAGGAATTCACCGAGGGATGGGACACGGAATTGTACTGTTTTTTATAACCAAGACCGCCCCCCCATCTGATCTGCATCTTAACAGGCTGGGAAACTCACTGTTTTTGCGAGCGATTGTCAGCATCCTGACCACCCAGTTCAGCTGGATTTTCACTTTGCACGGGGCAGCCAAGGCAGCAACCACTGGCACGGTCTTCTCCGAGGACGTGACCTGTTTCTTGACACGCCTTGCCACATCCTGGACCTTAACAGCCGTGACAGGTGAGAACTCAGGAAGGAATAATAAAAGGCCCCACATGTAATGCTAGTTTGGGCTGGCTTTCCAAAAATCAGTGAGAGTTAACAGGGGTACATAGAATCTTCCAACTGTGGTAAGAAAATCCTCTTTTTCTCTGTACGCTTGAGAGACCCAGCTGTAGAATAGGAAGTAGCATAACCAAGATAGGGGAGAGAAGCTGCTCACCTTCTCTTGGGAGGCACAGCTTAGACCCAGGTTGAAGGCCTTCGTTTAGAAGATAAAACCACACACTGAGAAGCATGGCTAAAATCCACCTGCTTATCACAACCTAAATAGACCTGATGGTGCTGAACAGGTTTTAACACTCAGTCAGTTCCATTTATTCAGCGGGATGACCCTAACAGGGACTTGACGTTTGGATTTATGCCCTTATGTCTAACCTCTGCAACTTTTCTGCTCCTAGTCTGGTGGCGACTCTGGAATACACTGAAGAAAAAACAGAAGCAGACCGGGTGATTGTGAACTTCCGCAAGTCTCGGCAGGACCGGAGTAAGAGGAAGGTTTTAATTTAATTTCCAGGTGACAGGTGCTACTACTTTTGAGCTGGGGAGTGGAAGCCAGTACAGTACAGGGAAATCCTGAGAGTAGACACCCAGAATCAATGACATTTCTGTGCCAACTTACCAAGTTCCCAGTGATTCAAAGGCTGGTTGTCTGGCAATTAAATTTGGGGCTGAAACATGGCTGTAGGGAGACCTTGTCTCCCGCTTATACTTGGCAGCATCATTTTCCTGCTCCCTTCATCTCAGGATCTTAGTGTATCTTGTTCTCAAAAGTGGCTCCATTAACTGTAAAAGTGATCGCAATAGGTAAGGAACATAGTAGTACTTGCTCATGCATGTAGATGTTGTGACTCTGCTCTCCTGTTTTGAAGGAGACCTGCTCCGGGCCTTTGGTTTCTTGGGTTTCAACCTTCTGCGGCCAGACGACCCCACCCTTCCCCCCTGGGAAGATGCCATCTTCATGGTCTACCCCATGGACCGAAGCCTCTGCCTAGAGGAAGAGTAAGCAAGCTCAAGGGGAGGCGCTTTGGACAGACAGGATGGGGCCGAACAGCGGGACAGCCACCTTCGATGCACTCCGCTGGGAACGATTCCAGCCGCCAACCTGGCATCTTTGACCTGCGAGGTGGCATTAAACGGGTGTGAAAGCTTGACTGTCATGTGAATGCCGAAGGGAAGGATGATGCACATGGTGGTGGGTGGGGTGGCTTTAAGAGGCTAGACTGACAAGACACAGATACTCTAGCCCGACCGTCCTCTGCCACCAGTCCATGCTGCTGGGCTCCCCCTGCCACCCCCACCAGCACAAAGATGGAAGCCATACTTTTATATCACCCTCTGGCCCCGTTTTAACTTGTACCACGTCACTGGCACAGCCAGAGGAAGAACGGGGGCAACCTAAATTCAATCTGAATGCTCCCTTCCTTTCTGGGGTTATCTCGGAGGAAGAAAACTTTGAACGCTCCCCTCCACCCCACATGCTTGCTTGCCGACTAGGCAGGGATTGGGAGGGGGGACTCAGTAATTTTAGGGTGAAGGATATGGGATCAGTGGCAACTGATGCCTGGAAAAGAGGGGGGGGAGAACTGCTGCCTCTTGGGGAGACCTCCAACAACCATGTGATATATTTTCATTTTGAAAGGTGGCCTAAAGAGGTTTTGAATGCGCTGTAGCTGAAAACCGGTCCACGCCATTCATGGTGGGGATGAATGGGTGCGTGTGTCAAGCGTGCAACTCTCTCAGCTTGGAGAGTTCCAGTAAGCCAGTCTGTAGGAGGCTTAGCAGTGGCTAACTCCTCTCAACACGGAGAGCACCAAGGTCCAATCCTCTGCCCAGTTACAGGTTTTTTCTCCCCCCCCCCCCG